CCAAGTCGTGTTGGATCATATTGATCCAATATGATCGTTATCTTATCGTCACGTGACTTGCACCATAGTTCTTCCGTTTCCGAGCGAGTCCCTGTTGTTTCCGTGATCCTGCAATACAAATGTCCTGTCCTAGCCGCTCGACGCCCAAGTGGGTCGGTTAGCTGTTATCCTTGCATAACGGGTCGTAACAGCATGGATGAGTGTTTTATAATTGCGCTGTCTGATCAAAGAAAGGTGTATATAGCAGACAAATTCCCATCTAGTCTAACCCTAGAAATAGAGGATATATTGTAAAATTTGAGAGTTCCAAGGACCAGAGAATTATTTTGAACTTTCGCACTCTGACTGGTACTTAGGAAACTGGTGCAAGTGTGATACTGCTATTGTATGGTATGGCATTACGATTACTGATTAGATGCAAATGATGCTTTGTTAGAATATAGGTTATGTGCATACTTTATGCAGATGTAATCCAAGTTGCATCCAAGCCCGTGGTGTATTGTGCTTGCACAATGATCTAGTGCATTTCAGCAGGGCTTGTGTTAGGGTCGCCTAGTATAATACAGCGGGGCTCGCTCAGGAACTTCGAGCACAGGCTCAGGTATTTAGTTACATGCTCAGCCTCGCCTCAGTTTAGAGCGGCGACTGCTCAGGACTGCGGCCAGAAAAAGTGGCGGAGATCTGTGAGACAAATGTGGTTGTCAACTAGGGGTAAACGTCTCAAGCGTTCTGCTGCGGATGCTCTTAGGCAGATAACAATCAACATGCAACAAATCTTGACTCGTAAAATCTGAAGGGCCTTGCGAATTATTCAAAGGGTTATTTTGGAGTAAGCATATCGCTCGGAGCCAATGCGATACCGAGTAGCAGCAGGTTTGTGGGTCGGCCGTGCCGCGGTAGTTTCCGAACACATCCGGGGGCGTCTTCCAGGCCGGCTTGACAGACCCGACGACCTTTAATTGAATCTTTGCAGACTCCAGGCCAGAATCGCGGCCCATGAACTTGTTACATAGCATCGTTGGGACGGTGACCTTCAGGCGTAAGTTGGTGGACAACAAGAATACCTTTGCCTGCAATATAGCCGCAGCACTCGGCCCTCAACGCCAGATATTCTTGGACGTAGGATCAAATCGTCTGTGAAACTCGGATTTTGCAGCCCGCCGTGCTTGGGCGGGCCAAAAGGCCCCGTGTTCGGACCAACCCGTAATGCAGGTGGGGTAATTCGCCCCGGATCGGCGGAGTCATCCGGGTGGCACAGACAGTTCTACTCATAAAACATGCCGCCCTCCGGCAACATGGCAGTGTATTTCGGGGTGGCCGTCTGCCTCAAATTTGAGTGTTGCTGGAAGCACAGATCTGAACATGGCATCGATCGACAGTCTAGACAAGGCGAGCAGACCGACGAAGATCGATATAAAGCCATCTTCTCCTCCCCTGGAATGAGGACAGGCTCATCATCGCACTCACGCGTTCGTTAGAATCAGAATTCAAGTAACTACGCCTTAGTAACAGTCACTCTTTTCATCTGCTTTTGATTCCTTCATTCATTCTCCACCATTCACTCCAACACTCATTCACACGATCACCATAACCTTCTTTCGCTTCAATTCACGAGTTCACCATGCGGTTCCTCAATATCACCACCCCCGTCTGCCTCCTCCTCGCCGCTCTCTCTGCGACCGTAACCGCCTGCGACGGCTACCTCTTCTGCCACTGCTACAACTCCGATGGCAAGCCCAATGACGTCGCGACCCAAACGGTCTGCGACCGATTCCCCAAAGACCAATCGAAAATGATCGACGTCAATAAATGGTCCGACGGCGCAAAGGAATGCCAGTACGCCGGTCCCAAATTCACCCCCCATGATCCCCGCCGCCCCCGCGGTGACGTGAAGGCCTACGGCTTCGGCAACTGCGACTGGCGGGTGATGTGTCAAGCCGCCGGTGCCACCGGCAAAGATTCCAGTTGCAGGGATACACCGCCTGCAGGCCCAGAGAGTTACAATGGAATTGAAATCGTCCGTCATAACTAGGCTAGAGACTTCAGAACTTAACGTCAAATTTCAGGCCATAGCCTTTGCGTTTTACCTGGAGTGAATTTGTGAACGGCTAGCAATAGGGAGGATTGGTTGCCTTCTGTCGTGCATTTCTACAGGTCTTTGGGGCGTCTTGCAAGATAAAAGAATTTCTCATACAGGTTCTCGTAGACACTGCCATAGACTAAAGAAGGGAATCTAGAATATCATGAGTTTCCGAGAGTCTCAGCCGTCGAAGTGATTTCTACTCCGAGAGGTTTTCATGTGCCGTCGGTTTGCTTATTGCCGTTAATCCCGAGTTGCATTGAGTCAATTCAGTCTTTAGTGCTTTCCATGCAGGGGTTGCCACCAAGCTGAGGACCTGCACTTCCTGCGGAACAGTTCATCTGTACATGACGTCTAACAATAATAATCAGGAACATCAATACTCTCTTTCAAGGACTGCTTGCTCTTTGGCGAACGTCGGTCCGGTCATGTCACTTAACAGCTACATAGAGGATTGATGCAGCAGCAACAGAAACAGCAATGCCCGCTTTCCAATAAGATGAAGAAAACATGCCATACGCAGTGTATCAGTTCAAGTTCATTCACCGTGGGTCACGAATTCCGACAAAGACGTTACCTATCTCGACAAGATGGAATTAGGCCAACGACTTTGATTTATCTAATGGGGCCATTGAAAACTCCAAAGGCAATTCTAAGGCAACTGTAAGGATATGGAAAATTAGAGTCATCTTGACTCGCCATCATCGGGTCGGAGGCGCTGACATATCGCTTTACAGTCCGCTCTGTGCGGAAGGCGACGACATATGTCTGAGCTAATTTGGCAGTGATTCAGGAGTTCCACGTGCTCCGGAGGGTCCTATAACCCTCGAGCGCTCGAATGAAACCGAAGACGACGGCCCCGAGCAGAAGCTGGGTGAAGGAGAATTCAGAACTCAGCAAAACTCGTCTATACCCTCGGCTTTTGACTCGCTGTAGTCGCCAAAGCCCGTTACATCTTACCGGCCATAGGGCTTAAGCTCAAGGTATCTTGCGGTTCTGTAAACGGATGAAAACTGGATCAGACGTATCCGCACGCTAGCATCCAAAGCCCAGAAGCAAAATGATTGCAAGGCAGATGGGCATTGGGGATGAGAAAAAACTAGAATGCTTGAACATGAAACTATGCAAACGTCCTTGAGATCTTCCATGGCGGTGAGCAGTCCGTCTGATGAGTACTAACAAGGGCAGTGCTTTGCATGCGGTACAGGGAGAGACAGGCTTTCACAGCAAAGTGAGGGGAAGTGGTGGCGGAGGTCAAATGTTCAAAATCAGACCAACATCTTGAACCACGTGCTTCGACCAAACATTCGTGTCGTCAATGAATCCACATTTACGCCATCACCTTAGTCTGCTATTAGAAGCAGCAGAGTCATTAACGGTGGTGATTTCGCACCAACACAGTTGACAGATGTCTTTGAGGAAGCGCATCAATTACCACGACTGTTGTTGGTTCCGTGGCATTAATTAATCAAACGTCCGTACCTCGATTGTTATGACCTGCCTTTACTTATTCGGTGGACAGCCTAGCAGTTTCGGGATCTGTGTCCCCACCCCCACTCAACCGTGACCGGATAAAAAGGCGGGATGCCGATGTTTATTTATGTTCGGACTAGGCGAAGGCAACTTGGATAAGACAAGGTCTACACCCTGTTGCTTGCCTCCCATTCTGGTTATTCTGGACTCAGATGATAACTTCAGAATGTCCAACAGCGAAGGCAATTAGTTCATGTTGCGTTGAGGCGGATTCCTCATTTGCCAATGCTGTGGGTGCCCTTTCCCTTCCGTTCCCCGATTGAATGACAACACACAGTTGCAACTGGCAACTGCATCGGCTTTGAGGTGTTGTTAGCTGTTCAAAGTTGATGACACATCTTGTCGAGGCGCTAGTCCAGATGAACGCCGGTTCGTTCGGCAGCGTCGATCGAATGCTTATCGGACGACAGATCGTGAGTTTCCCCACGCAAAAGACAGCCGCCGAGTTCCACCTGCACAGCAGTCGCGCGGCTGCTGACATGAGCACGCCCTCGTATCCCGTGTATCCCGTGTGTGCCGCTAATCGCCGGGTGGCCGGCACGCTGCGTGACATTCCAAAACAGGGGCTGGCAGTAGTCCTCCAGTCGCCGCGAGTCAGCACCCCCGGTCATGTTGGTTCTCACAGTCCGAAAAAGAAAGTCTGTTCCCCTGAAATCACGGAATTTATAGCGCATGTTGTCTCTACTAGATTGTCTTTGCCGGAAAACATGCGGCATGTTAATATGGAATTGAAGCCGCGCCTCGGTACTGCTCCACGAAGAGCTGGCCTTGATGGGACTTAACTGCCTCCGTTATCAGATTTTTGACATCATACTGATCATAGCTGTAGGGCGCAACTGCCCGGTCATGCCGCATGACCGTGCTGTTTGTTCTTAGTTGCCGTGCTACCCCGGATATACTAAATTTGAGTTTTTGAGCCTGTTGAATCAAGCATTGTTGACAGTCGACTGAGAGAATGGCTAAGCATTCTACCGCTATTCGGACCGGGTCTATCTCGAAAACATGGGGATATCTCCTTTTCGGTAGTGTCCGCCTCGGAACTTGACAATGGCAGCTCTGACTTAGGTAATAATCGTCCACGGCACTTTGCACATAAACACGTTCCACTTATACAGACGTCACTATCTGCCGTTGGTTGACCCATTCGCGGGGGTTCCTTCTGGATCGGAACACTGCATCCATGTCGAGATCCACGATCATCGCCCCAGCAGGTCTCCGCAACAGCTGTGTAGAGTTGCAATTAGAGATGGCCCGACATGGTACGAGGCAGTGGGTGTATTCCGAATCCGAACTTGGAAAACATGTAGATCAGTTTACCGCCGGCAGACATTAGTGGCCGGGAAATTCTATAAAGACAGCCCCGATCTCATCCCAAGAGCTACTGATCACACCATCATCAACCAGTCAAAACGCCTGCTACTCAGTCCTTCTTTCGAACTACTTCTAGTCCCTCTTTGTCCGTGTACATAAACCGACTCCAAGATGAAGGCCTTCACCGTTCTCTTCAACCTTGCCTTGGCCGCCACCGCCATGGCCGGTGCCGTCGACACCCGCGCCCTGGAGCCCGGCTTTGCCGAGCGCGCCTGCGGCACCACTGGAGGTACGTGCCATGTTTACCCCCTCAACATTCAAGGCATGGAACTAACACGATGCGTCTTTACAGCTCCTTGCACCAGCGGCGACGACTGCTGCACCTACTGCGACCCCTACTCCGGCTGGACTTGCACTGACTCTACCAGAGCCTGTGTCGAGAAGGGCAGTAAGTTTACACCAGTCTATCTCCCGTGGAGTTATATTGTAGTTTTGGTCGCTAACCAATGGTTTGTCCAGCTGTTCCCGCTCTTGGCCAGAACGACTGCTGCAGCTACAAGGTCGACGCTGATGGCAAGTGCACCTAAACAATCCTGGCGACGGGTGGAAATCCCCGGGGGGAGGTATGCGATGTTGAGGACCCTTCATCCTGTGTACATGAATTTCAAGTTTCAAGCGTATATATACCAAATCGAACATGCAATGAATGCACATGCTGCCAAATGGACACGTCTGCCTACCAGCAATGCAGTAGGCAGTCAGGACGTGTGTGCAATATGCTTTCAGTGTTCAACGTCGCCTCCAGTTTCCGCAAGTCAAGCTTCGCCGCCAAATATAATCTCACGTGCCAGAGGAGAAAGCCATCTTGTGACTTGTACTCTCGGTCGTCAACCGACTCGTCTCTATGTCAAAACCAAGATGTCTATTCCTTCAATATCCCATCAGGTTCGACATTGGCATTTCTTCTCTTAGCTTCAACCGACAGGCTCGACTGCAAGGGGAACATATAGCTTAGTGAAACATAGTTTCGTTCTTCCAACTTGCTTTTGTGTTCAACGGCATGGATCCGACGATTAATCAGCGTTAATATGTACGGCCCGGTCGTCGGGTATCTTGTCCATACCTCTGGGAAAAGTTGCGCCTGGACGATCGGACCGTCGCGCCTGTCAACATCATGAGAGCTTCGAACTGCATCCCAGCATGACTTGACACAAGCTTTCGAACCCCCTGGGATATGGGCCAGTTTGGTGTAGACTCTTTCGATATGACTCTGGTCATGAACCTTTCGGGACCAAATAAAGTATTTCCGCACCCATCGCTCCGGGTTGTGTCGTTGGCAAAGGTCGAGCCACACTGCTCCTTTGAACTAAAACAACGTTAAGACATGAACCCATCGTTTCCAACTGGCTGGTATTTGGGACCATACCTCCTGTGAAGATTTGAGCTCGGCGATATCACTCCTTGTAAGCTCAACACTCCACCCGATGAACTTGGCGCCCATCTTTTCATACTTTTTGTTCAGGCTCCAATGCAAACACAAAGCCTCTTTTCCGATGTAGTCGCGTTGTATCCCAGCCTCGTCAATGTCTGCAAGAGTCCTCACAGTACAGCAATCATTTGATAGGTCAAAATACCCATGTATGTCGCCTGACTCATCACAGGTATCGTGGCATTCGGGAACGACTGGATCGATGTTGCATGTACAAGGGAAACCTTCGTCTGAATGCCTGGTCTCCGGTTCTTTCGGGCAATTCACGAGTGACTGACTGCTGACCGACGATTCGGTGTCACATTTCACCGCTTCTGATGGGGACGCCGGTCTTTCACGCCCGATGTTCATGGTTGAGACTGTGCCAATATGAATGTCAGCTTAGGAGAGAGCAACGACTTTCGGCCGCCCGACGCTAGACAAAAACCTACCAAGAGCATCCCTCATGGATTTGAACCATCTCCTAGCCCTCCATTTCGTGTCTCTGATGAGTGTTTTCCCGCGCATGGCCTAGCTTTGGGCCAGAGAGAGCGGACTAATGACAGTTCTAGGCAAGACAATGTCGAGGTGATGAAAGCAGATTGCAAGAGGGGAGGAAATGCGGGGATGTGAAAGATGTTGGAAGTTCTTGGAGGAGAAGAGGGTGGCTGGTTAGTAATTTCCACGGCAAGGGACTGTTCCAAGGTCTAACACAGTCAACCTCTGAACGGATGTTTGCTTTCTTGAGCTGGATTAAAGCCAGTGAATTCAGCCGCCTTTACAGTTGTTTTCTTCGAGATTCGCACGTTCTCTGACCAAAAAGAGTCAATTAGCTTCATAACATTTTATGTCTTTTAAATCTTGCCTGCAGGTGGTTACACATCTTTAGGGCATATTTCGCGAGCCGAAATAGATACACAACCCATAAAACCGCACACGTAATTCAGATGCGCTTGAGACATTACGTTTCCCATCTTATTTATTGTTATCAGCAGGACCTTGAATGCCATTGCCATACTGGTTCACCGGACTGAAAAGTTCACTAAAGGTTTACACATCGCCACACCACGCCGGCTTGCCCTCCCCTACTGAACCTCCATCCTCACAAAAGCTTTCTCGACCAGATTCTTTCTCTGGATTCAACCTGAAGTCCCGCTCCAGACGTTCGGCATCTCTCCTCTGGCTGCAACCAACTTAACGAACAGGGTCGCAAAACCCAAACCCGATCGCCCAAACTAGAAGATTCCAGAAATCGAAATTACAAAAAACGGATCAATACCGATGATTGGAAGTTTGTGTCGTAATCATGCCACATCCGTTGTTTAAGGTTTCGCTGCCGTTGAAGCCCAACCGACGACTTTAGGCGTCCGGTAGCTGTTGGTCCTCAAAATGATTTTGGTTAAAGTTAGGTTCATCTCGACGAAGAGAGGGGTAGATGAAGTTTGTTGGTTAGGTTCCAGATGCCGAGGTGCACACATTTCATGTTGTGCAATCGGCTGCCTTTCAGCTACGAACTTATTTATATGTCGCCTCCTCTCAAAGCAAGGGCATAAATTGGCTAATGTACTTTTCTGTCCGGTCTTGACGAAGTGGTCTATACAATGGCCCACAGATACAATCTCCGTCCCAGGCCTGTCAAAAAAGCCGACAACAATGACGAAACCATGAACCCCGAGGTAGTCAGTGTTGAATCTTCTGGGTATGAACGCCTAGTAACCCAAATCTGCCCCAAATACCTCACCAGAGACGAGGCCAACGAGATACGCGAGGAATTCAAGAAAGTGTGGATAGAGGATAAACAACTCCTTTGGAGTGGCACCAATTACCATGTAACCAAGATCTGGGCTGCACAGCAAGGCCTTCAGACTCTAACCGATGCGATGGGCCCCCTGATGTGTGAGGGAAACAATAGGTGCCGAAAGACGACAAGCTCTCGAACCTGGAGTCAGTACATGAGGGGGGCCTCGGCATTGTTTGCGTGGCGCATATCGCAAGGCCGAGTTACCACTGTGTTGACACCTCCGCCCCCACATCGATTTCACCCTTCGGGTATGACAAACTATCAAGACGTGGAAGAGCCGATCCTCAAGGGAGTCCTCGGCGTATCAGTGGACAAGATCATGATGATTCATCCTGAGGTTCCGGGCGCTGAAAAGTTTGTCTACGAAGCGTGGCCTGTTGACCAGTGCGCGACGTGGATGACCAAATTCGGCGAATTTCCTAACAGAGACTGGAGAATCGTGAGCCAAAAGAGAGGTGTGTTTTTTTGAACGATTGAGAATCGAGGCGTGATGTCTAACGTAGCAACAGCACAAACAATTTGGCAGCCTATCGTCGGCGACCCACACCCAGGGCCATTGCTAGAGGGCAGCCCTCAGGCATTCATTCATCAACTTCAGAACCAGTCAGAAGACAATAAGCCAAAGCTTCACACAGCTATAAATCTTCAAAACAGCTTCATCAAGCCAAACCCAGCTTCGATGAACGAGGCCCGACGAGCTACACACGAATCGCACGGATTCATGGCCCTCGCCTTTTTACTAATTGTCGAAATCTGTTTATGCTTTGTGCTTCCCTTCGCAGAATTCTTGGAGAATGTGACAACTGAACTCAGACATCAGCATCAACATGATCGTCAGCACTTCAACACTGCCTGTCAGAGAAAGCCCAAAGTCAAAACATCCGCTTTGGATATCTCGCTCAAGGCTATTCCTCAACCTGGGAAAGGAGGAAATTGCACTACCTCGGAGACTAGCAACTCCCAACAGCCAAATTCCGCCAAAACGAACACAACTGCGGACCCATCTTTGACAGCCGGGAAGATTGCAGAAATCTTAGGCGGAGATATTCACCTAAGATCATTGAAGAACCATCAGCGCAAAAAGCTTTCAAGGCTTCAGGAGAAACTTGTTGCGATACAAGCGCAAGCCGAGACTATTAGGGACGAAGTTACGAAAGTCTGAAGAAAGCACCAAACACAGATGGGACGTGCCGATACTTAGGAAAATGAATGCAATGTTTCAGAGGGTTTCAGATGGGCACAAAGAACACCAAAAAAGGGATAACGGTTGATATGGGAGTTCAAATTCCTTTTGTTTCTTAGCAATTTAGACCGTTCGTCATGCCCTCTTCTTCAAAACAATCCAAATATTGAAACATTGTATTTCTAGTGATAAGTTGCATAGAATGGCCCTGCGCTGACTTCCCACACGCAAAGTCTTTCTCGAGGTAAGAGTCAGGCAATCTTCTGCATCATCATCAACATCCTGCCTCACAATAAATATTATGAATCAATTATCGCCTACGGGTTAATTTCCGATCCTTAAGCTCTCACAAATTTGAGTCAGATCCCGTAGAAAATGGCGTGCACGTTATTATCATGATTCCGATACCTTGATTCTGCCAGAGACCTACAAGCAAGGGGACATGAAACTTCTGTGCCTGTGGTTCTCGAAGATATCTGATGAATTCCAAATGGCCTTCTCACATATTCAGGCGGACATCGCGGCTAGCCTTCCAGCATCCTAGGATCCCCGATTTCAAACCCCGAAAACTCATGAACCTTGCGGGTACACAATTCTGACTCACACGACCGATTTCTCTGAGGGCGGGAAGCTCGAAAACCTACATGAAAGTCAATCTCGTGACAGAACTTAGACGACTGCATCTCTCAATTCTAGAACACGTTTAACTTCTGGAACTGCGGAGTAAGTCCAATCACAGCAGCCTGATGGCGTGATGCGAATACTCAACCTACTGAGTTTCTGGCAGCTGTCTCCTGATCCCGAGGTGAGATCCAAATGCGAGCTCGTCATACCAGAATGAATAAAGGTCGACGCGTGGGCCTGATACTTCATTTGGAATAATCGTATATAATAGTAAAATACCACGAGGACTTCGCCGATAATGGATGGACTGACTGATGCATTCTACTGCTGGGATTTATCAGCCCCCGGATTTAACCAGCTGCTCAACATTATATGCCCCAAATATCTAACCAGAGAGGAAGCGGACGAGATCATGCGTCAGTTTGATGAAATTTGGGTTGATGACAAGCAGGTTTTATGGAGCGGCGTCGATCATGGCAAGGCCGAAGGATGGGCAAAGCAGCGCGGAATGCAAACGCTCACTTGCACCATGGGGCCCCTAATGAACGAGAACGATCCAAAGTGCAGGAAGCTCTACAAAACGAGCGTAAAATGGACGAAATATATGAAGGGTGTTTCCGCGATCTTCGCCTGGAAGATTGCCCAAGGCCACACCACCACCCTCTTGACCCCTCCTCCGCCTGTCCGCTTTCACCCATCTGGATTGACAAACTACCAGGACATTGAAGAACCGATTCTCAAAGGAGCTGTCAATGAATATTGCGTTAGCAAGATTACTCTGATCCATCCTGAGGTTGATGGAGCCGAGGACACGGCCTATGAATACTGGCCTAAGGACCGTGTGGCTAAGTGGTACGCGAAGTGTGGTCCCAAAACGCCATTTATCAAAGTCTGGCGAACAATAAGTCCCAAGAGGCGTAAGATTCTATAAGGCCTTCTTTAGGTCCTGATCCTAATCGAAACAGGTGCTACGATCTGGCCAGCCAAGGCAGATATCTCCCCCGAACCTTTCACAATAGCAACATTAGACAATACGGTGGGTTTCGTGACCATCGGCTTACTTCTCCTCGCCGAAGTTTGCATACACTTAGTTGCTTTATATGGGATGCCGGTGTACTTTTCCGCCTCCATGCTGTACCCACGATATCGCGGGTACAGTAGTGTGGATGATAAACCTATAAGGCTTATCATCACTCAAAGGAGTGATGTTCATCTCAACGTAAACGTTGAAGAAGCAGCCGAACCGGCTGCTTTACTCCTTTCTGTGCCTAGGTCATCACCCATGAAGACTGATGATTCGGTCATGGATGGTGTCAAAAGACTCAGATGCACCAAAGTACACCATTATTCCGCCAGCGGCGGCAAAGGAAACAAAATGAAACGGCTGAAGAGCAGGCAGCGACGGGTCCCAAAAGACAAGATTGACAGTACGGGAAAATGAGCTGGAAGATTGCTCGAACACCTAGGAGTTTCGAAGCTGGGAAAGGATAAGGTCATTCAGACAGAGACTCTCACGGACAATCAGATTGGAAAATCGGGCTATTGTGAATTTTGAGCAGGATGTAGTTTACCAAATTGCCACAACACGTGAACAATTGACGTATCAAATAATATGGAAATTGAAACGTCTTTTCAAATCTTGTTCATTCACGACCAATTCCATATTGACTAGAAGATCCGCCAAAGGTAAGACTGACTCCGTTCAAAGTTTCTGTCAGTTGTGGACTCAAAAGCACCTTGAGGTCCTCATTACAGTTCTCGTTATGATCTTGTCCTATTGATCAAAGTTCATGTCTTTCTATTTACGCACCCAGGTCTGGGAATGATTGAAACTCTATGCTATCTTGCCAACAGCTTTCGAGTCGCGGTCATGCTATTCGCTCCCTCAATTAACACATGAAGGCTTAGGAATATGCTATTCATCTAATTCAACATTACAATATCCTGTCACGAAGGGTGACCACGCCTCCGAAGGGGTACATGCTCGAAACAAAAGCTTTCACATGAGATCGACCGAGCGTGAGCTGATCCCTCAATACTAACATCTCAGTAATTCTCGGAGAATTCAGCACGATGAGCAAATCTGTGTTACCTGATATCCTACAACTACATCTGGTGTCAGACGGGATCATCAGTCCTCGATGAAGACCTGAAAGCCAGATCCCTCAGCTGTAGTCGCCGATCCCCTCAGGCGTCGAGCAACCGTCATCCTACATCAATCCGATACAACCCCACGCACAAGAAGCAAAACTGCCCGAGATCATCATCCCGTCGACGGCCTCGGGCCTCAAAAAACACATTCAATCTCGATATCTTCAACCCCTCTCAAACGGTTTGACGTCAGCGGTCTCATATCTCCTGCCTATCATCACGCAACCGCACCGAGAAGCACGTGAAGGGTCACCCTCTCAGGCAACGCCCTTGACATCACAAATCCTCCGGATCAGCTCACCAGAAGGACCCCTATTCCCCCAGCTAACCCACAGAAAGCCGTCCTCACCTCACCCATTGCCGTGCCCCGAAACGCCCCCGTTCCACAAAAAAGAAAGCACATCATTCAGCGACGATCAACGGCGTGCAGTCCCCTCTTTCCAGGTGCAACGAACCTCCAGTCCAGCTCCAAGCCAAGGGCGATGACCGCACAGCCAACCAGACGGCTGCACCGCGGACGAACCACTGGCGGAGGAGACGAAGAGAGGGGGCGAGCCGGTCTAGAACTGCGGGACGATCACTGGCGTCATCCACCACCCTCCAACGTTCCCCCCTCTCAGGGTCCTTTGGGTGTGCCCGTGTATGGCAGGAAGCAGCGCCGCGACGACACCCTCTCGCAATCTTAAGAGGTGAGGTGTGATAAGCAAAATGCGAGGCAGCCTCAAGGACCCCGAAACGTCTTCTTGCAGACGCGACCTGTCGTGCAGAACTTCAAGAACAGTCCCCTCTCTTTGGGTATCAATCTCACACCCATTGACGAACTAGAACGTCGCCATGGGCCGTCGCAGCACTTCTGCAGCAGTCGATTTCAGGCCTAGACAGAAGATGCCAGAAACACCGGCGCGCCGGCGTGTCAGGATAGGATGATAATTCCCGACCCTCCATTCCGTCTCGAAAAATTTCCCTGAACAATCGTCCGAGATTGTTCGTCTTGTTGAGAGAGAGTACCGGTACCAAATGGAGATACGCCTGCTACAAGGCCAGGTTCAAAGCGGTACGGATCGATGCGCGCTGACTATCTGGGATGAGACGGGGGCATGGATGGGTCGCAATTGACCGAGAAGGACATCAAACCAATTTGACGACATTATTATCAAAAACAATAAGCCCACACACGCGAGAGACAGGCCACCTCAACAAAGCATTGTTCCCGATAACGCAAGCACTGACCCAGGAAACAACGCACAGCCTCGCGCGAAGCTAGCCGCCTCCCGACCACGGCCAAGGGAGAGAGAGAGACTGGGAGAAGAAGCACCGGGGTGGTCGGGGGAACAGACGCCCCCAACCAACCAACCAGCCAAACCAACTCAACCAGCCCAGCCTCTAGGAGTTCTAGGAGTGTAGATGCAACTAGGGACCCTGCCAACGCTGCAGAAAATAACAGCGAGCGAGCGAGCGCACAGAGGTTTCTCTGTTGCCCTTTTGGGGAGGGAGAGGCAAAACAAGATGGATGCGCACATCTCATTTCCACCGACGTTGGCAGTAGTCTAGTTCCCCATCCACATCACACCGCACGCACAACAACGCGCGCATGGCAAAAGCTCCACTGAGGCGAGGTTGGCATCTCGAAAAAGCCGTGCGACATGTAGTCCGTAATTGTGTAAGTTTCTCAGAAGCGAGTAGCGCCAACGGGGCAGGCAAGGCAAGTATGTGATATTTCGCCGCGCAACGCCGTGCGTCGTATCCACCACCTTCCGGCGCTGATATGATGATGATGTGGCCGTGGTTCGGTGGCTCCACTTAAGCAGCCTCAACGTCTCAAACTGCGAACTGCTGCTCGTCTCCGTAGTGGGAACGTTTTTCAGCTTCGGAAAACTGGATCTCGCGGGGTTGGGGCGTTCTGGCCAGAGAGAGAGAGAGGGCGGATGCACGAGCGGTTGCTTATCGTTCTCCTCGCGGAGGCGGAGACGGGTGAGAAGTAGTCTATTCTCTGGAGAACGGAGACGCAACGGCTGGCTGACAAGACACGATGCGCCTGTCCGGATCTGTTTACGGATATGCCCTGAGGGGGCCTGGAGATAAGAGCTCTCTCTCTCTGTCTCAGTTGAAGCAGCAGCATAAGCACAGTTGCGGGTACAGCACCAACAGCATTTCTATTCACAGCACGCACCCAGGCTCACGCAGGGGGTGTTGGAACAGGACAAACACTCGCAGCAGTTTTCTGTCCGACATTTGCGGTAGACATGGGTCGAATGAACAAACGAACGGAGATCGACGCGTCCGTTCGCCTTTCCGCAGACCACCACATACGCAACCCACACATCCACATTCTCTCTCCGACAGGGCAGCGCAGCCCACCGAGGCCGCAGATTGGACGCAGCCGTTCATTTCGAGGTTCCAGTTCCATCTCACCATCTCCAATCTGCCTCCGCGCTTACGGCCCCATCCCATGCCGCAGGACCCGTTCCGTCTTCGCTGGGGTTCTCACCTAGGTTGTGTTGATCGTCTCGTTTCTCCTTCTCCTTCTCAACATTGCCCAGCCCCAAGGGCCCCATTCGCAGTGCACACACATTGCACCAGCGGAGCCTCCACCTCTGCCCGCATCTTGACACGGTCTAGACTGAGCCCATCAAATCCTTCCTCTCCTCACCACACACTGAGCCCTGCCGCCTAGCCCCAGCACCCCGTCTGATCCACGGCCGACGCACCGTTCTGAGATCGACAAAGGCCTCTTGTCAAATGAAGACTCTCGAACATGCCAAACGTCCAGCGCCTACCGTCACCTAAACCACATCAGAGCCCCTCCGCGGCCGGAGCCACACATCCATCCATCGCCGTCCCGGCGTCAACATCAAAAGACGTTGCCAAAGATGCAACGTTCTCCCTCTAAACGAAGCCCGGAGCCCTTCTCCTCTTCGCCTCCTGCCTGCTACATGGCATCTGTAACTTTGACAAGCCCTGGGCTCCTCCCCCCTCGTACCCGCATCCGTATCTGAGCGGAGCCAGATATCCACCCCAACAGCAACAGCAACCCGCAGCGGACGAAATATCTCAATAATTTCCTCATGCACGTAATTCGCCTCTCCCTCTGCACGACACAGACACACACGCCTTTTGCGCCTCGCCTCTTCCCAGTCCTCATAATGCCGCGTTGAAATTCTCGCCATCTTACGTACGCTCCAAGGGCGACAGCAACCACCACACACACACAGACTCGCCGACCGTCAGCCTGTCGGGTTTCGATAGGTCTTGCAGCAACAACATTGGTCAATTGGCAAAGAAACAAAACCACTCACGCAATCGCACTTTTCGTCAATGAACCAGACCCCGGTCATGATCGGAGCTTTTCGCACAGCCAGCACGCCGCGAACCCTCTGCGCCCTGTAAAATCTGCGCTCAAAAATCCGCGCAGCATCTCCGTCCCCCCGTGGCCCCCTTGTCTCTTGTCGCAGCACGCCCGGCCAGTCTAGCCTCTAAACCTCCAACCTGCAGCAGTCTCAATCTGTATCCCCAAGAAAGAAAAAAAAGGCCGCATCTCATCGCGGATCAAACGCACGATGATATCGCATCATCACAGCCAAGCATCTTCCAACCTCGCATCCAGAGCCTCACCTCACCTCGCCTCTTGTAACCATATCCACATCCAAAGGGCCCTGCTCTAAATCCCCTTAGCCCATCTGGCAAGATCCCGCCATCTAACATCCAAACAAAGGAACATTCAAGATCCAACACACACGCTCCTCTCTCGCGAGCACTAGCCCATCTCCATC